CTCTCAAAAGATAACACTAACATAGCTAGACAAAAATAGATGGAATCACATTTGCTTGGCAAGGTACATGAGCAGCATGCAGAACAACACCACTTCAGCAGCACCAATGGTAGTCTCCTTTGATACCTAGTCTGCACAGACAAGAAATGAATGTAAGACATGCATATATGCAGATGATTTCCTCATCATTTGAGGAAAAAACGGCATTAGTAAGTGGTAAATGACCGTTCAACATCAATCAACGCTGAATCTCATGATAGAACAAGCAAAGTGGTTCAGACTGAATATTCGGCTGGAGGACAAATTGACCGATAACAGGGTATACCATGTCACATGGAAATCATGTCTAAATAAGGTAAACATCTAAGGCAGAAACAATAACAAATCTTGGCAAAATTGGCAGCTATATAATCCATCAATATTCCAACTGAACCACAGAACCATTAATTTCCACTATTGACTGACCAAATGAACCATAATGATTGGATCATTGATCAACTAAATGAATATCTGGACCTCAGTGAAGCAAACAATTAGAACAAACAGTGCGACCAACACTAACAGGATATAGAAACAGATGGTTGTAATTAGGAGCTTCTCAATAACAGAACTACACAACAGACCTGGGTAAACTTTCTAGCAATGATTGACACAACTGCTGAGGCTCAACACACATACTAACATTTAACTTTCCATGACGCGCACCAGACAAAACAATAACAGTAGTATCGGCCTAATCTAACTTTTTGCAATCCCAGCGTGAGCAAACCGTAGCAGTAATAACAAACCGTAGCAGTAATGACAAGAGGATGAATGAATTCACCTTTAAGCTGATGGGATCTCGACCTCGCCGTCATCAATCTCCAGTTGCAGGTCCTTGGGGTCCTTGCCGTCGACGGTGCATCCGACGCTGACGCAGGTGCCGAGGATCTCCTTGACGGTGCCGGCCATCTCCTTGGCCATGGACCTGGGCCTCATGGTCTTGGCGATCTCGACGACGTCGTCGAGGCTGATGTTGCCGCTGTGCTTAATGTTCTTGACCTTCTTCCTGTCCCTCTCGGGCTCCTTGAGCGCCTTGATGACGAGCGCGGCGGCGGAGGGCACCACGGAGACCTTGGCCTGCCTGTTCTGGACGGTGAGCTTGACGGTGACGCGGAGGCCCTTCCAGTCCTTGGCCGTCTCCTTGGCGATGTCCTCGCCGATCTTCTTCGGGGAGAGGCCGAGCGGGCCGATCTTGGGCGCCAGGGACGACGCTGCGCCCACCTCGCCGCCCGTCACCCGGACGAACACCTCCACCACCTGCGACGGGTCGAGCTTCGGCGGCATGGCTGCTGCTGCTGCTGCTTGCTCGGCGGCGGCGGGGGATGGGTAGGGTTTGGCAAAGGGTGAGGACTGGCGGCGGCGGGGAATGGGTAGGGTTTCCGCAGGCCGCGTTGCCCGTCGTTATATTATGTCTTATTACAGCTAGGCTTGCTTGCCCGTCCCGTTGGGCTGTTTGTGGTTTGGGCCTTGGGTCACTTTGTAAGCCCACCTAAAATAAAAATCGGTTCGGCGTCTCCCTCTCTTTGGGCTTCAACGAGATGGGCTGGTGCCATGTAGTCGTCTGATCCACCAGGCGCATGGATGTGGCCCAACTTCCCCTTCCCGGACCACGCCGATCAGGATTCAGGAACAGAGAGCGCGCGCGGGCGGCGTCCGTTTCAGTTTCAGCTCAGCATCAGCTCACTGAGTGACTGATGATTGGTTGCATGATGCACTCGCACAAAGTGGATTAACGTGGCGGCCAGTGAAGCGTCGGTGTCCTGACACATGCTTGCCATCGCGAGTTCGCGACTGCTACCTGCCTCCTGCCTGCTGCCTTCTGTTCAGGTGGTTTCAGCAGGTTCAGGCAGGCGTAGCTGCTGAGCTTCATCATCATCCACTAAACACAAAACGTAATACGTGCAGGAGAAAGGAAGCAACCACAATGATGAGAGTTTGTGAATACGCTTTTGCTACGGCTGTGTGTGGTCGATTCAGCAGGGCAAGCTTGTACATGTGGCATTCAATCTCTGCTCACTTGACAACCAACCATGGCTGAGTTGTTCACTTGACAAGGCAATGCAATGCCTTCACCACTCACTCACATCGAGTGCTCCCACCGCCATGGATTCTCCTTCGTTCTCCAGCCTTGGAAGCAATGATGAGCTGACGACGAAGAATGACGATGACCCCGACGCGGCGTGCTGCTGGCCATTGCATGGATCCCAAGCAATCAGCTCAGCCTCAGCTGGTGCGATGCTGCCGCTGCACCGTCAGCTTCCCCAAACAGTGCGTGTGAGTGTGACTCCGAGACGACGCGCGCGCGCCCGCCATGGTCCATTGCATGGATCACGAAAAGTCAGCCCGTTTATTCTCCTAATCCGATAGACATCACAAGCTTATATTAGCATAAATAGCCGATATCTGCAGATTTCCTGGTTAATTGCCTTGCCGAGTGTTTTTGTCAGGCATTAAGTTTGAGCTTCCACTTGCCGCAGCTCCAATTCGATTGGTTGCAGATAGCATGGGACTGGGAGCTGATGGATAGAAGGTCCTTGTCTGTCCATTGTCCAAGACAATCAACCTTAACTGACACTGTTCGCGGCCGGCATGCCCTTGCTTAATTACCAGCGATCGAGTTAGCACCACCCCACTGCTTTTTCTGATCAGGCAGCAGGGCACATTTAGCATGTGTGTGATTAGCTAGTTTAATCTATACAGTATTGTGCAAGGAGACCTCCAATCAGCCTGTGGGGCAGTTGATGAAGAATCTAATCCTCCTTTTTCTTTTCGGTGCATGAGTAGTCAGCGTTGCGTTTCTGCAGCTTCATGGTCATTACTCATTACCTCCTGTATTAAAAGAACACTAGGAATCGACCGACAACCTGCCGTTGCACCAGTGGCCGAAGAAGGAAGGAAGCTTCAGAGATGATTTCATTTCGTCCCTGGATGATGTCAAGCTTACCTGGGCTGATGCAGGCAGTGCAGTGCAAATACGTACGCAAAGCCTGAGTGACCAGGGAGAGATCCTCCCTTTGAGCAAAGCAAAGCAAGCGTCCCCCCAAGATGGCATTGATTGAAGACGCCAAGGAAAGCTTGAATTTACAGGTACACTTGGTTTTCAGGGATTCTCTCCAGTCCTACTACATATCCTTCTAAGCGCCGCCTCCGTCTGTGGTCGCCGCCAACACGATCTGAATTCTGAATTCTGATGCAATAGTAGTAGGTGCTACGAGGCAGCACCGGAGACTAGTGCAGCATTGTTATCATTATCCTTAATCCCGTGTGTCCCAGGTGACGGATGGGTTGTTGAGGTGCTGCTGTCAGAGCTTGTACTTCCAATTCCAATATCTAGAACAAGAGCATCATCTGCTAACCTCATCATCCAGAAGAAGAGATTGTTGATTGCACTGCGTCATCTCCATTGTTTCTCAGTCAGTGGCAGTAGTGTACGTTGGACCCTGTCCTCCTGTCTTGCGTGCACTAGTTAGTATCCTCCTCTTCCCCTGGATTTTTAACTTTGACATTTTTCTTGAGAGTGCAAAAAAGGCATATAGCGTGCCGTGCCCGCACTACGGGCTAGAATGGTGACCCAGACACGGCACTAAGGCCAAGCCGTGCCAGGCACTGGCACGAAGGCCATCGGGCTGGGCCATGCTACTTAGTGCCGTGCTTGGGCCGGCCCATAGTGCCCGGGCCAAATGGCCAGCTATAAAAGGCAACACACGTGGATATATACGGCCGAGAGTGCAGTACTGTTGCTTGGAGGTCTTGACCTCACCTCTGCATCACCCTTGGCTCAGCAGCCTCAGCTCCAGCTCCTAGTCCTACTGATGACGGCGACCTGCTACACTGCTACTGGTGCCCGAGAGTGGCCTCTGCCTCTGCTATTTGGTGACACTTAAACGTCTGATGTGTGGCGTTCCATCTCATTGGTCGATTCGCCTTGTTAATTTGTTGCTGTAATATACTGTTACCTGCTCTGTCTGTTTTGTTGAAATAAAAGGTGAAGAAAGCTTGTTTCTTTTTAGATTTTATTGCTACGTATTATGCAGAGGTACTCTGTGTGAGATGTACTGGTAAAAGTAGGAGGAGCCTCAAGGAAAACAAATGACCCTAAACTTACATACAGACCTCCGACTTTTGGTCACGAAAAATCCACAGCTGCTCTGCTTGCTAAAGTTCCCAGTAATAAATAAATAATTAAGTATAAGAGGATGCCAAATGGTACGTACACATCTGACATCTTGTGTGACATGAAAGGTGCTACAACTGAACTGCTGTGGGACAAACCAATGAATAACCAAAAGAAACAAGAGCTTCTAGGGGTCAAGTCATGAATCAATGAATTCTCAGTGAGGTGTCAAGTTGGCCCTCTGAAACTGAAAGAAAGGTCTTTAATTAGAAACGGGGACATGCGTGCGTGCGTGCTGCTTCCACAACAAAGAACAGAAGCGAGCAGCTAGCAGCAGGGAGGGGATTCTGATGATCAACAAAATCAAAATGTAACAGCTCAACTCTGAGTGAGGATTAGTAGATCAGGTCAACTGAATGAAGGCCAAAATGGGCTTGGAAGTCGCCACTCTTCAGTACTCGTAGACAACCTCTCTCTGCCAGGTAACTTCCAAGCTGTTATGTTCTCTCCAGCACTTGTGTGGAGAAGAACAGCATCCGGTCATCTGCCGACGATGAACTGCCACGCCGACCGTTGCAGGGGAGGGGAAAGCTTCACACCTCTCCTGTGCTTCTTCAGCAGATCGGTGGCGTGCTGGCGGTCGGGAGCTTGTTGTCGTCCGTCATGCCGCCTATTGCCGGTCCGGCAACAGCCGTGCCGACAAAAGGGTTAGGAGGGGCAGGGTGCCAGAATCTACATTTCAGTGAGTGTCATCGGGAGATTGGGGGTGGTTGTTGGTTGGTCCTCTGTCTCTCTGTCTCTCTCTCTCTCTGTCTCTCTCTCTCTCTCTCTCTCTCTCTCTCTACTAGGGTCTTCTGCCGTACTGCAAAACCATGAGGTGGTTAGCTGATGACATGTCCGGCACCACCGACGGCGAGGCGGCAGCGTCGCCCTGGCACCATATGCCGTCCCGGACATGCTGCAGGGTCAGGAACGCGGGGAGCTGTCGCCCTCGGCACGTGATCTCCACCTGCACACATTGACACAATGCATGCATGCATGTTTCGTCAGTTCAGTAACTTCAGATTAGTTCAGTGCTGTCATCAGAATCAGAAAATTAACAAACTCAAACTTGCATCCCCTAGCTTTATTCTGAAATGACTCCACACTGATGCATCAACAAAAACAATCGTGGAAATAGTGAGACAGTGATAGGGGTCGGAGATTGTCCTTTTCCCTAAAAAAAACCCTCCCTCCTCTACAAACAGCACAAGCAAACGCACTGAAAACTTGCAACGGCCATGGCTCATGCTCTCTGCTTGCAAGGCTAAAACGCCCAGACAAACCAAGTGGTGCGTGCCTGACGCCGATGTCTGATTCCCCTGTTAGTTTGCGATGATGGCAATGCATTACCTTATCCCCCCACATCCACATGTGTGTGAGAGATGCCCAGACAACCTACAACTACATGCATGTACGGTTTATCTGGGAGAAAAAACTAGATAGAGCAAACTAAACGTGGTTACAAAGCTGCAATTGCAAAGCACAGATCTCAAGAACTATCAGTCCGGCCCAAAGTGTACTATTCAAATTACCAAGCACAGATCTGAGATGCAAAACTGTATGTAACTCTTGCATGTCTTTTTTTCCGGTCTATGTCTTTACTAGTATTATTTTTCACCGGCCATGTACGCTCCTCATTTGTTTAACCAGACACAACAAGCTCAAGTCAATGGCTTACAGTGTTGAAAACAATGAATTGCCAAGCCTACTGAACACCCACAGATAAAAAATTCAGAACCTTTTCTATTAGTATATACTAGTATATAGTATATATAAGCACTAAGCAGGATCCAAGAGCAGTTAACGTTGATTGATTGGTTGGTTTATTCTTCTTTCTCAAAACTGTCCTTGAGCATGCATGCATGCATGCATTAGGTTAGCATAAGAAGCGCCCACACCCGTGACCCCAGTGTGCAGGTGTTGTAGTAGCCTCCTCCGACCGTGCTTGCCTACCTAACATGCCATAGCATGACAGCAACGTTGGCCCTACTCTGAATTTTTTTTAGGTACAATACATAGCGCCACCGACATCGCCGATGTTGATAGCAGATCCTAAAATGGAGCTCGTGATGCATACTCACTAAATAAAATAGATGGCATTTGACTTAATAATGTCACTCCAAGCCCATAATTAGTGCCCATGGATAGGAAAAATTTTACCAAAAATTGCATATTTTTCCTTTTTAATTTTTAAAGACGATTTTGCAGTACAGATGCTAATTTGGAATGTGCGTGCACCAGTGGGGCCTTTCCGGTGACATGTTTCCAGGTAGAAGTCCAACCCAACCTCTTCCCTAGCTCCGCCGACGCCAATTCAATCCTTAAGGCAAAGTTTATTCTTTTTTATATGTTTCTTTTTTTTCTCTCTCGCTTTTCCATCTCAGAGAGCCAAATACACCTTAAAAGCATGTAACAGGAATCGATTGTTAAGAAAAGAAACAAGTGATTTCCAAATACTCACAGATGGGGCATTTTCAATTCAATTAAGGCTGCTTTTCTCTGGTACGCATGTGCCACAGGACTACAAAAACATCTTAAGGTATGAATCCTTGAATTCAACTCCAATATATATTCACCTATAGTACAAAGGAGCCAGTCTTGTTTTTATCCATTTTTATTTATGCTATAATAAAAGAGTAGTTGACACTTAAACATCTGTGTCACTGTTAGTGTAGTACTAAAATGGAAGCATTGTTACTTGTACGTTTTGCATACGGACCAATGAAGTACACTGGAAACACTAGAGCACCACCATGAATAGACAATGCAGTCTTACAGAAACAAATTAGCATTTTGATAGTTATTGCGCATCCATCGTCTAATTAGTGATCTATATAGTGGTCCAATATACATCCACTGACTAAAAAACAAATAATAGTATCACGAAACTAGACAAATCATGTGTACACAAGTCATCATAGAAAGTTCTCGCAAAATAAAAAAAGTCTCCATAGAAAGAGAAGTTGACCAATCAAATTAAATTTTGTTATCTGTAGCTATAAGCACCTTTTCTTTGCTACTGTTTACTCTACTGCAATCAAATCTTTACACCATGCAACATGCACAAGAGAAGGAGCAGCAATCATTTATGAGTTTTAACCTCTTCCCCGAGATGACTTAAACAAAATGATTCAAGAACTGTCATTAAAAAACTGCATACAAGGGTTGATGTTGTAGCATGCTAGTGATAAAAAATATTATCTTGAATGGATTCACGAAAACTACCTCTTGCGAGGAAATGCAAATTAACAGAGGCCCAATTAATGAAAACTAATCTGTTGGCACTCAAATGCGCAATTTTGTCGCTAACATAATCAAATCCTAAATAATAATTTCATACCAGAATTGTTTTTAGACAAACAGCATAACCATAGCCAACCCAAAGATAATTGGAACTACTTATGCAACTATGCTCCTAAAAATTAACTAAACTATATAGAGGTATAGAATGCTGATGCAAGTTATATCTGTTGCATATATAATTAATTATATATGTGCAAATCTCTTACAAGATGTTAAAATTTTAGTTATGAGCCTTTGAATCAATTAAGTATAAAATCTTGAATTCTAATAAGCTTCCACTATAGCACAGATTTTATAAAACCTTGGCTTTGCACAAAGCTAACAGTAATATAATGTATGTCAAACCAGTTCAGAAAAATTAATTGTTAAAGCTCAAGAGCACTGAATATGGCAAGAATCATATAACAATACTCCAACAACAAATTAACTTCACCAATCTCCCCAATTAAATACAGGACTGAAAATGTATGGTATTAGTAAATTCTAATTATCCATACACTTGTATGTTATCTTTGCAGAATATTTTGTTCACCTTCCACTATGGTTGCTACCTTTAAGTTCATCGTTGATGGTAAAATATGTTATTCAAATGATATTCATTTAGTTTAGCATAACAGGACACATATAGTGCAGCAAACTCAGAAAAGATATATTTTCACCAGCACTAAGGTAACTAGTTCATTTCTGTTAGAGTAGCTAAAATTACCTATTCAGGAATAACTAGGTAAAAAGCTCATTTCAAAGTTGCTCAAACAATAACTAGCATTAATTGTAAACGCTTCCTGCAAGCCCAAACTAACTATAGGACAAAAATCAAAATAATATTAACTACGTCGTAGCGCTAGCTAGGTCTAACATGATCATGCATGTGGGACTACTTTTTTGGAATGCAACCATCCACCAATCAAGCCAGGACAAGATGAGGGGTTATAAAAACTTAATAATCATGCACCAGTGCACCACACACCAAAACAAAAGGAAAGGAGCACCTATTTCACATACACAAGTAAATATAATACAAATACACGAATTTTTAGTCACATCGATCATGGATGATCTCTCGCTCTCGATCGTGCGTAAATATGTTTAACGGTATTAGATCGTGCTAGAGACACTTTGCCAATCAATCAGAATTATTTAAAGACCACGGGCCAGAACAATACACACACACATACTGTATGTTATATGGCCCTCATCATCAGATTCCTTGCAATAATTAGCTGCCATGTAGTGTGGATTATAATTATGTGCAAGATGACGATGCATTACATCCCTACAACAATTGTGCACGAAACCAACAATTATTGTCATATACTTTGTATGTGCAATTTGGTGGCTCACAGGAGCGTACTAACCTATATATATATATGATGCGGACCTGTCATGGCTACATTTAATTTAAATTGGCCTGGCCTGCGATCCTGTGGTCATATCTGATCACGGGCTGCCGAACAACCAAGACTGAAGACACATCAAATTTACTCACGAGTACCGTCTCATACAAATCAGTATAAGAATATTTTTATTAATTTTATCTTTATTCATTGTTGCACATGGATTTAATTTAATTTATGCTATATGTACATAAATGCACAATTAGATTTGTTGTTGCATTGCTCGCCCTGGTTTAAGTCTCAAGTTTTGTGAGACAAGTCTTTTATGTTAGTGTTCATAGGTAGTGTATGAGTTCATAGAGTTATACCTAAATATGGGCGTTTGGTTTTCACCAGGAGAAAAACATGTACATGTATGAATCTCGGTAGAGTTGTCTTAGGTTTGGGTCGGTCTTTTTGTTGAGTTGTATGAGGGAATTTGTGTGTTTTTTCAAATCCGGGTTCCACTCCAAATAAAAACTGGGACAGCACTTGTATTATTTCTCCTTCTAATAAAATTAGTGGGAAAGCTTTTGTGGTCTTTTCAAAAATAAGAATATTGGTAGAAAAATTCCTCAAAATTAAAGCATCCGAATTCAAATAAGGTAATGCATACACATTTAGCCTACCCCAACTTGTTTGGGACTTAAAGGCTTTGTTGTTGTTGTCGTCGTCGTCGTCGTCGAGACTGAGAAAAAAGAAAGAAAAAGATAGAAGGCCGGCATGTTTGCTTGCATGAAAATTTGATTGATGTGCAAAGTCTACCAACCAGAATGGAGTATACTAGTCTACAGGCAGGCATGCATGCATGAGAAAGGTAGTGCATCTCTCACGTTTGTTTGGCCAGGGCAGGCTTGGCGATGTGGCTGCTACATGCATGCATGCATGGACATGCATCCATCAATCAACGATCCCCAGGGAATATTTTCTACTCCTCTCCTAGCTAGGCGAATGAAGGCCACCACCACCAACAAGTACCCTCCAACTAACACTCATCAGATCCATCCATCCATCATCCATCGTCCATCCATGGAGCCGCTGCTTCTTCTTCTTGGTCCTTCTGAATTTTTAATTAATAATCGTGGCCTTTGCACTTAATGAGTTGCTAATTGGAGGCGGTCGATCGAGCATGCAATAAATGCCGGTGCCTTGCCTAGCGATTCTGGTGAGTGAGCTTAATTAGTCATATATATTATTAGGTGTTCATTTGTAGTTGCGTTAGGTTTACTAATTTATATATTTGCTACACTAGTAATTTCCATCTTGATTGCTGACTGGTAGGTGCACCCAG